TGTTTACATCTCAAAGGAGAGGGCAAGCACAAACTAAATTCCACCATCCACTTCATACTGAAAGTCATCAACTGAGATATTCCACTGGGAAATCAGATGAAGTCCATTTTCCAGACATGAACATACACAGCAGGGAGAAAAGAAGTAACTGTGGATCAGGGTGAGAGAGTGCTGGCCTTCCTCCGTCCTGTAAAAGTTCAGGGTAAGGCAGAAAACACAACAAAAAGACTTCTCGCTTTTTGGTGCAGTCTCCTGGATGCAGTGCTCCAGTGCCATTTTCAAAACAAAAATTTCCCCTCATTTTCTTCTGGGTCCATTATACTCTACAACAAACCCGGTGACTGCCATTAGTTTCATTAATCAGTTTCAGAGTTTCTCATATTACAGGTGATGAGGAGGCCGAATTGATTTTCAGTGCTTTTACAGTACTGCACAAAATCAAACCACCCAGAGAAAGTTTGACCTACTGTATTCCAGTATGGGCTCATGTCAACTTGAATAATGAAGAATAATTTGAAGTGCAAAGAACCAGTGGTATGAAACTAATCAAATTCTTTCATTAAATAAAAATACTAATACAACACAGTAAAAATACTCTGTTAAAAGTAAAGGCCCAGCACTGAAAATGATACTTAAGTAAAACTATGTAATTATACTTGTGAAAATGTACTTTAAATATTAAAAGTATTACCTGACTATTATTCATTTTATAATTTAAATACCCATGTATTGCTGTGTGAGCAGCATTCTACTGTTGTACTTGGTTAAGGTGGAGCACTTTGTTATTTTATATAGAACTGCAAGTAATTATTTTTCTTTTGGATTCTTCTCTTGATTATTTCTGATAAGGTTGTTCATAAGTGTGCTTGGTACCAGAATACCTCAGGCCTTAGATTGATGATTGACTTTGTTGTCGTATCATCGGATCTAAGGCCGCATGTCTTGGACCCTCAGGTAAAAAGAGGAGCAGAGCTGTCAACTAATCACCACCTGGTGGTGAGTTGGGTCAGGTGGTGGGGAGGCTGCTGGACAGACCTGGGAAACCCAAATGTGTAGTGAGGGTCTGCTGGGAATGCCTGGCTGAAGCCTTTGTCCGGGATGTCTTCAACTCGCACCTCTGGGAAAATTTCTCTCTCATCCCATCTCTCAAAGTCTGAGGCCATGGTGCTCTGCCAGAAAATGGTGGACTGCTCCCTCTGTGTTGGGAGTTAGTTGCTGGAGATAAAGCATCTTGGGTTCTTGCTCATGAGCGAGAGTAAAATCAAGCATGAAACTGACGAGCAGATAGAGGTAACAACAGCAGTAATGCGACTGCTGTATCAGACCGTCATGGTGTAAAAAATAGCTGAGCTGAAAGGCAATGCTCTCATTTTACCAGTCAACCCAACTCCAACCCTCACCTATGGTCATGAGCTGTGGGCAGTGACATAAATAATAAGACAATACAATACAAGTGGCCGAAATGAGTTTCCTTCGTAGGGTGGCCGGACTTAACCTTAGAGATAGGGTGCAAAGTTCAGACATCCAGAAAGGACTCGCAGTTGAACCACTGCCACTCCACATCGAAAGGAGCCAGTTGAGGTGGTTCAGTCATCTTATCAGGATGCCTCCAGGGCACCTCCCTTCCCTCGACACCATACCAAATCTAACCAAATCTGTATACCAAACTAACATAGAAGAATTGCAAAGGAAGTCTGTTTCAAAAAATATTTCTTTAATAGCATCATTTTAACCTAGACTCCAATTTGTGACCAAAACAAAACAAAACAAAAAAAAAAATACAAACTGTGACCCATGGTTATTCTTTCGCCAAATACAACTTGAGCAAGAATAAAATTTGAACAAAAGAATTTCAGTGACTTCAAAAAAGGACAGATGAAAAGAAATCAAAAGAAAAGGAGAGTCCATTGTATTACAGTCATCCTCTAATGTGTTAACAGGGTGACAATGTTTACATATTCAGTTAGCTAAACCCTCTGTTACCTTATCATTTGTTTGTTTGGCTAATGGTCCACCAAGTACCACACTGTAGTAAAGTAGCCCAGTGGAGCGTCTGACATCTCAGCAGTAGAGATGGTCCTCTGACACCCGAGACTCCGACACGTGCACGGTAGCTCACGAAGCAACTGTACCTAACCACTGTGCCGAGGCGTGTCTTGATCACATGACTAGTGACGTTTGAAGCACTTGAGTGACGTTCAAAGCAGTTGGGTGCATTGGATCTCATACAAATCAGCTGATTGGTTCAGTTTGTCATGTGAATTACTTTTCGATATAGTGTGTATTCAGGGAGAGGATATCCCTACTTAGTGGCGTTCATTTGAATTTTTCTTTGCAGAGCAGGTTGGTTTGTTGCTGTTGTTGTCATTAGTTGTTTTGAGAGTTAGTGTTGTAGCAGATTGTGTATTTAGTGGAGAATCACTGTAGATAGAGAGATAGATCAATAGATAGCTACATAGAGAAATAGATAAATTAGTTACATAGTTAGATACAACTAGATAGATAGTTACATAGATAGTCCTAAATAACATTAGATATAGATAAGACATATACAAAGAGAGATTAACTATCTAGCTAGATATACATATCTAGATAAGTTACACAAGCACACCCTCTTTACCCAAGTACCCATGAACCTCTTTACCAATGAACCCCAAAACATACTTTGCCAAAGCCCATAATATAATCTGTATTTGCACCAGTTCCATGTGAAAATGACATCTGTCTGAATTTGTAGAGCACATCTCATGAATGTAGCAGCACCATTTAAATGTTTCATAACACAAAATACAAGTGGAGTATATAGGGTTACAATCAGACATGCCAAATAAGAAACATGGTCTTCAATATGAGTTCATGTTTATTTTATATTTTACTGTGTCAGCTTGAAACCATACAACCATGTAGTGTAGTCGAACAGGAATATGCATGGCAAACCAAATCCCAAACAATCCATGAACCAATAAATGACATGTCTCGATTGCACTTAATTTTATTGAACACTAGATGTCCTACTCGAGCACTGCGTCATTGAAGCCTTGAGTAATGAACTATTTTTGTGAGTACTGTGTCGAAGCTTCAACGAAGCCTCCATCAGCCTTCACTACTCAGCAGTAGCACCTGGATATTTTGTCTGTTTGTGTCAGGGACCAAACAGTGAGGCAAAGGACACACAGCTTTTAAAGTTCAAAAACAATGGGCATTTTATTAACCCAAAAGTAAGGAAAAATATAAATAACATCAATATCAACTAAACTAGGCCCTCAAAGAGGTCAACAGGAGATAAGGAAACTCAAAATACAGCAAACTGGACTGATACTGCAACAAAAACCATGTGACACACAGGTGAACCTATATACTGGCTACCAATAGCAGAATCAAGGAGTAGACCAAAGACACTATCAAACTAATCAACTAATAAACACTAAACAGACAGTCTGCTAGCAGCTAAATATTTTCCTTGAATGTAAAGAAATTAATATAACTTGACAAAGTTTTAACATAATCTACAAACAAACAATACCTTTCTCCCAAACTCCCCCCTTCCTTGTATTGGGCATTTGGTGCAGTTCAGGACTAGTGGGAGGTATTGATAGTTAAATTCAGCTTTGCAAAATGTGCACACTACTTTAGTTTTTTCCCAAATAGCCATCTGGTAACTTTGTGCAGTCAATCCATCCATCCATCCATTATCTACTGCTTATCCGAGTTCAGGTCACAGTGGCAGCAGGTTCAACAAGGTAGTCCGCATGTCCCTTTCCCCAGCAATGTGTTCCAGCTCAGCAAGTATGATTTCTAAATCTAAAACATTTTCTTTTCTTCTCCATAACTAGCGTGAGCACACATTAGCAGAAAGATGGGGAATCATTAGCATATAGCCACAGGAAGTAAAAATGAAAGATGCTGCATAACAGGGTTAATTTCTTTACACTTTATATTTGTTCACATTAATTCAAGACCCAAAGTTCGACAATGCACTTTTCAATTTAGCCAACATAGAGGACCTAAAATCCAAAGCAACTATTAAGATAGTTGGATTACTTGAGTCTAGTGGCTAGGATTCAGCACTCTCGCCGCTGGGGCCTGGGTTCAAGTCAGCGTTGCATCAGGAAGGGTATCCGGCGTAAAACATGCCAAATCTCAACATGCAAATGGTCAGTGTGGCGATTCGCTGAGGTGACCCCTAACGGGAAAAGCCAAAAGTGATATTCATTTGTTCACATTAATTGCCACAATTAATGCATTAAATTTCCCAACCTTAATAAGAGCTTTTGTTTGGCTCTGACTCTAAATAATGTAAATGAGATTGTGGATGTAGGATCACATTTATGTTGTAATGTTAATACAAATCTTATACTAAACAAAACAGTGTCATGGTTAGGGCCTACTTCCTGTTCCATACATTTATTTTCAAAGCATTTCCTGTTCCATGTCATCTCACCTGCCTCAGCTTTACTCTGGCCTTTGATTATCAGTCATTGCCTTCACCTGCTGCTCACTGGCTTCATGTCTCAGCCTATATATTCTCCTCACTGTCAGGTCCGCTCGGCACGACCTGCCTCTCTTCCGCCTTTGTCTCCTCTGTTCTCTCGACCTGCCTCTCTTCCACCTCTCTCTCCTCTGTTCTCTTGGCCTGTGGGATTCGAAACCTCAGCTGTGTTGCATTCGTAATTAGCGATTCGTTTGTCGGCGCACACAGCTGGGGTGCATCCCGCTGATTACGTTCCTTCTTATATAAACCTCTGGCAGACATGCCGTCATCGCCGGAGCATTAATGTAACATTACTTAGTTTATGCCAAAAATATTACGTGTTTTAGATTTCCACGCTGACAAGCTTGAGTCCTACCACAGTTCTCCCTCACCCTCCTGGTGAGGGGAACCAACCATAACACTCTCAGCTCTTTTGCTTATTTGTCATGTGGGCTTCGAAAAAGAACTGCCACAATGAAAGTCCAAACTAGTTGCAGTGGAAAACTTTGTTAAAGCAAAGTTCCATTGATTATGGGTCAGCTTGAACAGCAACATATCAGTTCAAATTAGAGTAGTAAAATATTACTATGACTTAGCAGTGTTCATCACGATGTGCTGTATGACTGGGACAGAGGAAAGTAGTATGTGTACAAACCTAAATATTGAAGTTTTCTTGTTTATTAATTTTGTCAGTAAAATAAAAACCAAAGAAGCTTGTTTTTTTTTCATTTCCCAATGTCACTCTAATTGTGAAATCTATCCATCCATTTTCTATACCGCTTTGTCCCAAACAGGGTCATGGGAATTGTGAAATCAAACAATCCTTTTATATACATAGGGAGTGAAGTTCATACCTTCAGAAGTAAACATGACTCAGTGGATGAGAGCTACTGCAACAGTGGCACCAATCTTGGAATCCAGGGCATAACGACTGATAGCTATTAAATGGCTAGACAGCACTGTAATCTGCACCTATACCAATCAACCATCCATCTATACTGCTTATTCCTGAGTAGGGTTGTCAGGGGGCTAGAGCCAATCCCAGCTGACACTGGGCGAGAGGCAGGGTCCACTCTGGACAGGTCGCCAGTCTATCACAGGGCTGACAGAGACAGACAACCACACACACTTACTCCTAGGGGAAATGTGAGTCACCAGTCAACCTAAGCTGCATGTCTTTGGACCATGGGAGGAAACCAGAGAACCCACGTAGGCACAGGGAGAACATGCAAACTCCACAGTGAAAGGCCCCAGGTCGGCCGGTGTCAGGATCGGCGTGTGATGCTGCCGAATATGTCATGGGTGAACTCTATTAAATGGCCAGACGAGGATATGTGCAACAAAACTGTCTCTTTAATAAGAGCACTAACTCTGAACAGAAAAATAAGACAAGACACAGTGTAACACAAAACGCCCTTACGGGTTGGTATAACAGTCCAAGGTCAGAGCCAGCAAACACATACATCCAAGGAATCCAAAGTTCGTAGTCCAAAAGAGAAGTCCGATAATTCATACAGGGAAGCAGTCCGAAACAAGAGGGCAAGGCAGAACAGAATTGTCAACATACACAATCCGGGTCACAACACAAAATACCAAAACCAAATAATGCTGGAAAGTGAGAGCTGGAGTCTAGAACAATCTGGGAGTGTCGTGGTGGGAGGACGCTGCCTAAATAGAGGTGAAAAACAGGTGCAAACAATAAGGAGCAGGTGAAACTAATGTGAGTGATAATGGAAGTAAAAAGACCAAAACTGTGGTGAAACAAAAACAGGAAGTAATATCAAAATAAAAGCACCACAGGCTGAAGCATAATTCATAATGTAATAGATTTAGTCTGTTATTTGAACATTTGACAGGATGTTTTATTATATTTGTAGATTTATACATTACAATTACGATACACTATATTAGATTATTGTTCATTGCCCACAATATAAGCACTGTTTATAAGCACTGTTTGCCAGAAGTGGAGTTTTAATTGCTGAAATGCCGGCCCTATTATCTAGCAAGAGAGCATAGTGCTGTGTTTCTCGCTGCTGTGTATGTTAGCCCAAGAGCTAATCCATCTGTGGCTCTCAGCAAACTCCACGACGTCATCAGCGCACTAGAGACGGCTCATCTTGATGCTGTTTTTATTGTCACCAGCGACTTTAACCAGTGCAATTTATGGACTGTACTTCTCAAATATTACCAACAAGTGAACATTCCCACCCGGGGCAAGAACACTCTGGATCACGTTTACAGTAACATACATGGTGCATACAGGGCTGCACCCCACACCCAGCTCAAATACTCGGACCACATTTCTTTATTCCTGTTTCCAACTTACACACAAAGACTGAAACAAACAAACCCTGTCACCAAACAAATTAAACTCTGGACCTCAGAGACTGAAGGCACCCTGCAGGACTGTTTTGCCCAGACACACTGGGATGTGTTTAAATCTGCAGCCACCTCAGAGGACTTTTCTGTTGGTGTACAGGATTATGCTGAGTATGTGACCGGGTACATTAGTACCTGTATTGACAACATCGTGCCCACCATATAAGTCAGGAGGTTTTCACAACCAGAAGCCCTGGATAAACAGTCAGGTATGCCACATGCTGCATGCTCACTCTCATGCATTCAGATCAGGCGATGAGACAGAGTACAAAACTGCAAAGTACAGACTGAGGAAAGCCATCACAGCGGCCAAGAGGCAGTACAGAGAGAAGCTGAATGGCTTCTATTCTACTGCTGACTTCGGACGGATGTGGCAAGGCCTGCAGCACATCACAGACTACAGGACCACCACCAGCATCATCAGCTCCACAGACAGCCTGCCGGATGACCTCAACACCTTCTACACCCGTTTTGAGACCTCCAGCCACAGCACAGAGAGGAAGCGCGCACACACATGGACCGCGCCAGGTGTCACACTATTCCCTTTCTCACCTGGAAAATGGAGACTCTTACAATCCGGATACTCTTCATTGAATACAGCTCTGTCTTCACACAGTTATCCCCCACAAACTCACCCACAAACTGTCCACAGTGGGTCTGCACCCCACCCTCTGTGACTGGCTCCTGGACTTTCTGACTGGCAGGCCCCAGACTGTCAGGATTGGCAACAGGACTTCAGCCAGCATTATCACGAACATTGGCACCCCACAGGGATGTGTCCTCAATTCCATCCTCTACACTGTTCACCCACGACTGTATCACCTCCCACAAAGACAACATCATCCTTACATTTGCGGACGACATCGCAGTGATAGGTCACATCACTGGCAGGGACAAAGCAGCCTACAGGAGGGAGGTGGCCAGTCTGGTGTCATGGTGCAAGGACAATAATCTCACCCTCAACATGGACAAGGCAAAGGAGATGACAGTGGACATGAGGAAGGAAATGAGAATACATCAGCCACTGTTCTTCCTGGGGCTTGAAGTGGAGAGAGTGAGCAGCTTCAAATAATTGGGCGTCCACATCAGTGAGGACCTCACCGGGACACATAATACCACACAGCTGGTCAAGAAGGCCCAACGGCAGCTGTACTTCCTGAGGAGGCTGAGGAGGTTTGGCATGTCGCCTAGGATCCTTTGCAACGTCTACAGCTGCATCATCGAGAGCATCTTGACCAGCTACATCACTGTCTGGTAGGGCAGCACTACTGATATGAACCGCAAGCATCTGCAGAGTGGTAAAGACTGTGGAGAAGATCACCAGGACTCCACTGCCCTCTCTGCAGAGCATTTACCACACAGGGTATAATGACTGATAGCTATTAAATGGCTGGACAGCACTGTAATCTGCACCTATACCAATCATCCATCTATCTATACTGCTTATTCCTGAGTAGGGTTGTAGGGGGGGCTGGAGCCAATCCCAACTGACACTGGGTGAGAGGCAGGGTCCACTCTGGACATCCTCAAAGACCCCAGCATGGACTGTTCATACCCCTGCCCTCTGGTCGGAGGCTCAGAAGTGTGAAATGCAGGACTTCTAGACTGAAAAGCTCTTTCTCTCCTACTGCCCTCAGACTTCTAAACAGCTGACTCAGGATCGGATCTACCTCATGTAATTCGCCTGTACTGTTTACACACTCAGTTTGCACATGCATAATTGCACACTCACTGCTGAATATTTGCACTTTTCGGCTCCTATGTAGCATATATTGTAAGGTTTCAGAATGTACCACATACTGTCAGTCTTTCTCTCATGTGATAAGTTTTTTACAGTTTGTCTTTATTGCTCAGACAACCGGTTCTTATGCTGAAACTGGAAATACTTTAGAGATTTTCATCTACTTCAACAAAAAAAACGGAGATTAAACTGAACATTTCAAATGCTTTAGTTTTAGTTTGTTGTTTAATCCACTTGTTAAGTTGCATACATTTACTGCGAATAATGTTCAGAAGTGTAGAGTATAATATTCATGTGATGTACCTTCTCTATAGACTCCAGAGTCTCAGTGTATTTCTCCTCTGTCTGTTTCATCTCTGTTAAACAGCAGCTCCTGATGTCAGTCTCCACCTGCCTGTGAAGCGCCTGGACACATGCACAAAAACAAAAATACCTGTTAACAATGTGTCAGCACCGTGGGCTGACAAACCAGTGAGTTTCCAAATAGATGTACTCAGTATAAGCGTTTGTCAGAGGCTCAAACATGCCAGCGGGTTGTCTACCAATTATGACTCTGTGTGTGAGGTACTATAATTTGTTTAATGAACAAAGCATTTATCACATAAATCATGCAATTAATATTATACATTCTTAAGGTACAAAACCCAGACCATCTGCAAGTTTCAATATAGTACATGAATATGATTTCTGTTTAATGTAGAACAAAAAAATATAAAACTGACAACGGCGCATAAGTATATGTATAGGGCATCCGTAAGATGCCACCCAGAGACGAGCTGCTGAGAGACTGAGGCAACAGCAGCCAGAGAACAAAGATCAAGTAGAAAAATGGCACGGGGTGACAAGATCCTGCAGGGACAGCTGAGGTGGCTGACACTGGGTGATAATACCAGGAGCTGGAAAAGGTTGAACTGAAAGAGGGCACTGATCATAGCAGCACAAGAACAAATCAATAGAAGCAGGGTTTACTACATTAGACAGGATCAAAGGTAGAAACTGTGCAGAGAAGTCCCAGAGACAGTCAAACATGTCGGGACCCCAGGAAGAGTAGCGGCTGTCATTACAGCTAATGGGGATCCTATTTATAAAATCTAATCAAACAAACACACACTGGCAGGGTGCCAAAGGCATACAGCAACGGCCTACCCAAAACAGCACTACTAAGTATCTGGCATTGTGTACAGGACCATCTGCGCTGACTATGGCACAAACCCTCCCAAGTCCAGATGGGAAAAGCCTCAGAAAGTTGTGAAGAATGACAGGACAAAAATCCTGAGGGATTTCCAAATCCAGACAGACAAGTCCTGACTAATCAACCAGACACTGTGATGGCAGACAGGCAACAGAAGGCAGTAGCAGTGATAGATATAACAGTCCTAAATAACAGCAACATCAGGAAGGAGTATGAGAAAATGGAGAAGAACCAGGGCCTGAAAGGATGTGGAAGGTGAAACCCAAAGTGATGGGGAAGACACACCCACGGTGTGGGAATTGTCTAAAATCTAGATCTTCAGGTCTATTCACATTGATTAAAAAGGTTTATAACTTAAAGTTCTTTTAACCTTATAAAACCATTTGTATTACATTTAATATGTGAGTTTCTGAGCAAAAAAAAAAAAATCGCCAAAAATGCCCCATGTATCAAATGTGATACAAAAAAATGAAAATAAACAAAATAATATGGCACATTTATTCCTATATGCCTGGACTGTCTATGCATAAATGGCAAATAAAAATCCTGAATCCTGAATCTTCTTTTGGATTTTGGTAAAATTTTGTTTAATAAACATCTCAGTTCCAAAATATTAGAATGTTCTGGCTATTTTTTGATGTGTCAGGCTTTACAGGGATAAAATGTCTGGTATCAGTGCTATACATATATCTCAAAAGGAAAATGAATAAATGCATTTCCTAAAATATTTAATTGTTTTCTTTGCTAGCGACTCCAATACATCATGCATTTTGTCACATTCAGCAAAAACTCCCTCACATTCCTCTTTCTGGCCTTTTATTGTGTGTGCTCCACAAATCCCAGGCAGTTGTGTGCCACCTTAGCTCTGTAATAGGCAAGAAATGGATCGGAGCTGGGCCCCGCTGATTTCAGCCAGTCAGCAAAAGGAGTGCTCTCGCTCATGCACAACATGGCGGTGGGGGTAGCAGTAAGCTAGAGTCTGGAAATTCACAACATCACTGCACAGCCTAAAGGCAAGGCGAGTTTATTTATATAGCACATTTTCATACACAAAGGCAAGTCAAAGTGTAAAGAAACAGTTACAGCCTACGTGGCTGAAGAACTGAGGAGCTGAAAGACAGAAGCACGAGGTCGGGGACCCATGTAAACATAGGTGCTGCTTTCAAAAGATGGAGAGAGCCAGGACGAGTGATGAGGATGACGCACAGGGTGGACAGCTGGGTGTATTGTATTATATATACACCGCTGAAAACCATTATGGTAATTATGATGTGGTTCAGTTACAGTGGTGGAAAGTTAAGTACATTTACTCAAGTACTGTACCCAAATAGAATTTTGAGGTATCTGTACTTGAGTATTTTCATTTTTTTGTTCATACTTTGATGTCACTACATTTTAGAGGCAAATATTATACTACATTTATTGTATAACTTTAGTTACTAGTTACTTTTCAGAGCCAAATTAATACAAAACACATAATTATAAGACCTCATCTGTGACCTGATCTGTGGTGGAAAATTCACAAGCTACCCAGCAGTAATTCAAATTAAATGCATATAAGCTAGTTAAAACTAACCTCCACAGGAATGTGATATGTGCCATTCTGCATAATGAGTACTTTTACTTTAAAACTCCAAATCTGAAGTGAGTGTTTATTTTAAATAAAGAATAAAATTGATGAGGTGTCGCATCAAATAATGTGCTGCTGTACTGTTTTCAGTGTAATACAGGACACAGGTGATTTACACATCACTGTTTTCAGTTTTAATTTAGATTTTACATACTGTACCAACTTTTTCTGATTTGGAGTGGTAGTACTTTAAGTATGTTTTGATGCTAATACTTTTATACTTAAGTAACACTGTGAATGAAGGACTTTCAGTTGTAGCAAAGTATTTTTATACAGTTGTATTGCTACTTTTACTGAAGTAAAGGATCTGAGTACATCTTCCACCACTGTTCAGTTAGGTTGGGCAATCTCTGTGGTAACGTCACATAAGAATACATTATTATTATGAAACCCTAACTGAAACAACTTGTATAGATGCTGATCAAAATGTAGACATTGTTTTGCTAGAATGGCTGACTACACCTTTAACTTAGATGGTGACTCCATTTTGTGAGTGAAGTTAAAGACAGGAGACTGACCAGAGAAGGCATAGCTTCTGTCTTCATCAGGTCCTCATAGATCTCGTCACCATCTTCATCATCATACACGCAGTCATAGAGATCCTCCTCATCCTCCACCTCACTGCAGCGCACAGAATATGGCAGTGATATTAGATTAGTTTCACAATGAGTGGGTAACCACAGCCACATAAAAGGTTCACACAAAACACAGAGTTCTAGTTTAACAGATGTGGATTGTAAAGCTACACTACAAGTCTTGTTAGTCACACAAGCAAAGACCTTTATGTGTGAGACCATGCTGTAGGTGTGGTTTGAATGCTCACATCAGAGCAATTTACTGCACCTTAGCAACTAACATGTGTGTTAGTTGCTAACATTTTATATGTTTTCCTTGGAACCAAATGTCATCAGGTAGAAAGGAACATACAGGAAGAGTTCTCTAAAGAAATACTGTATCTACACCGAGGCTGTAAAGGATTGTGGATGTGTGAGTGCATGTGTTTATTAGGGTGAAGGTGAGAAGGCTGAGGTGAGGAAGGAGGGTTAAACACTGGGCCTCATTCAAAAACCAGTAGTAAGAAAAGATTTGTTGTTCAACAGCACATACGAGATATTTAAGATGGTTTGCAGCATTCACCATATGATACCCAACAATGTGCATGAGGAATAAATCAGGAACTAATGAATGACACAGATCATTTCTGACAAGTACTTACCTAACAACATCTCTGTATTAAATAATGATTAGTTGTGACAGAACCAACCGGGAGATAATATATCAGTGAATCATTATCTAATGATTAGTTCATAATTATGGCTATGTCACACACACCCCCACTTTCTTGATGACTCTTTTTTGATTACACTTTTGGGCACAAAATAGTAAGTACTCATTCATTATTCATTACCTAAACATGTTACCTAAACTTAAATACTCATACTGACACTGAGTATTTAGACTATGAAGTGGTCCCTCTAATTCCTCTGCAATTATGTGAGACCCCCTCACTTCTCCATTACCTGTACAATTTGTGTCCTCCTCAGGCAGCGATACATTCTGTCAATATTTACTCAGTAGTCCCTCATTACTTCATGGTTACCTCATCTTTGCATGCCCTTTATCAACTAAAGTGAAGCATAGTACTGAGTAATTACCGTCACATCTGTAACATGAATTATCTCATATCCACATCTTAAGTTGTGGTCATAACACAGTATTGCATGACCATTCATTAACTAAACCGCTCACAAAAAACTAAAAGGAACACTTGATCATCACAACAGAACACCAAGTCAGATAAACCTCAGGAATATCAATACGTTCATTTAGGAAGCACATGTGATTGTGAATTAGCCCAATTAGGTTGCAAGAAGTTTGGCTGTGTCTCCCAGCACAGTCTCAAGAGCGTGGAGGAGATATAAGGAGCCATTACACCAGGAGAGCTGGACAGGGTTGTAGAAGGGCAACAACCTAGCAGCAGGCCTGGTATCTGCTGTTCTGTGCAAGGAGGAACAGGAGGAGCACTGCAAGAGCCCTACAACATGACCTCCAGCAGTCCCTGGTGTGCATGTTTCTGACCAAACAGACTCCCTGTGTGGGGAATATCAGGAGGGTTCGGAATATTAGTGACAGTAGAAAACAAAGGTTTGCTGCAGCCTTCACTATACTTAATTAAGTTGCTGTAATAACAAGATCTGGCTCGTTGAGAGAGTTTTTATAGAAGTGGGCAGGCTCACTATACCTATCTCAACATCTCTGATGTGCATTGGAGCCTTATATTGTTGTGACATTTGAGATAATATTTTTTCGCATTACAAAAAGGCATGGAATGTTGTTGGGAAGTTTTGGATGATGGCACATTAATGCTAAAAGATACAAATGTATGGTCTGATATGGGCAGATCTGGTGCAGCACAGTGAGAAGGTCCAGCAACAGATTAGGTCAAGAGTGTGACATTTAGAGTGAGTTGGAAAATCGACAAATTATTGAAGACCAAAGCTGTCGAGGCAATGCATCAAGTCCCGTCCTGTGAACACATTGTTGGCATTATCCATATGAATATTAAAATCACCTAGTAAAATGACATTAGATGATAAAGTACATGGAGAAGTTAAAACACTGAAAAATGAAGTTAAAAAATTGTTCTTATTTTTTGGTGGTCAATAATTAAAGTATTGTTGGTGTTGACTCACTAATTTGTATGGCAACAGACACAAATGAAGCATGAGTCGGGAGGGATTGCCCTCACCTTTGATAAAGCTTATAGTTAGGACTGGATCAGGTGGCCCTGTGCCTTCCCTTAGTTATGCTGCTATAGGCCTAGACTGCTGGGGGGAGGGGCATGATGTTCTGAGTTTCTCTCCTCTCTTCCCCTCTCTCTCTGTGCTTCTATATGCCACCATTACACATCACTAACTTTGTGTCTCCTCTCTCCTGTAGTGTGCCCCTTCTCTCTCTCCCTGTACCTTTCTGCAAGTTCTGCAGCCCGGGTTCTGGAGTTCTACGTCTCTGATGAGCAGTCACCAGCCACATCAACCTGACCAGTGTTTGATTGTTTGCTGTGTCTTGTTGCTTTTCTTTCTTCTCTCTCTCTTCTATCCACTCACCCCAACCGGTAGAGGCAGAAGGCTGCCCACCAAGAGCCGGGGTCTGTCGGAGGTTTCTTCCATTAAAAGGAGTTTTTCCTCCCCACTGTCACCAAGTGCTTGCTCAAGGGGATTTGTTGGGTTTCCCCTCTGTAATAATAGTGATAACAGTAAGATCTCAACCTTAGTTTGTAAAGTGTCCTGAGATAACTTTGGTTGTGATTTGGCACTATACAAATAAAATTTGATTTGATTTGATTTTGACTTTAACAAATGCCTTTTAAATATTTTTTAATTAAAATCTGTAGGAGTGGAGTAAAAGCAGAAATAAAAGAAAAGACAAAATGACCAAGAGGAGACATACTCAATGAGATCCTCCAGGTGGTTGTAGATTCCATCATCTTCAACACTCTCCTCTGTTGGAAAGGGTCTTTAAAGGGGACAGAGAAAATATTCAGTGTATATGCCCTGCTGTAGCATGTCTACTATAGTGTAGTGAAAACACTTTGCCATATTGCAGTGGTGGAAGAAGTCAAATCCTTTACTTAAGTAAAAGTACCAACACTATAGCAGTACAAAATGTATTCAATGACCAAGAAAAGTAAAGTTAAAGTCTCAACAAAGTAGATGACCCCTGTGACTGATCACACAGTACATGACATTATCAGCTTGTTAAATGAAGACATCTGTACGCAAGTAGCATTTAGCTTTGTAGCTGGTGAAGCTGCAGATTTAACGACTTTACATAAATGTGAAGTTGACAAATGATAAATCTGATGCTTCACAAGATGATTAATGCACAAAATGATTACTTTTGTATTTTTCTTGAATCTTTGCTTTTCACGAAATACTGGATGATTTGACCTCTTTTGGCCTCAAACACTTGCTTAAATGAAACCATGTAAACAGTTTAGGGAGAAAATGTCTCTGGTGAAAATGCTAACAACTCAGAGACATCCAGAACCTGTGGTGGTACAGTAGACTGTCTTAATGTCTTGTACTGTATTTTTATCACATGTTCATGTAAATTTTTAATTTAAGAAGTAGTTAAGTCATAACTACAACTATTCTATAAATGTAGTGCAGTTAAAATATAATAATAATATAAAGTTTCTCTCTGAAATGTAATGACGTATAAGTATATAGTTGCATAAACTGGAAGTACTCGAGTATGATCAGGTAGCTAAATACTGTAGTTAAGTACAATACATGAGTAAATGTACTACTGTTACAGTGTCACATGGTTTTATATATCAGTGTGTATAAAATATCATAATCTCCACATTGTTTAATGTCTTAAAAGATGAAGTATTTTACTGTACTTCATGTAGCATACCTGATTCCAGTCTGTTGCACAATCACTGTGTGGGAAAGTTTAGATAATGTGTCCATAACCTGCAACAGAAATAAGTGTGTGTTATTTTACCTGTGTCATTTACATTAAGAAAACATACAGCCTGCAGCAGATGGGTTTGTGGTGCTGCTTTTCTAGGAGGAGGCACATGAGGGCAGCATTCTCCAACACTCCAGCATGACTGCTGACACATGCTGGAACTGGGCTGTTTGTTTGTGCACAGTAACACACACACAGAGGTCATTAAGTTGCACAAGCCAATCTGTATCACCATATATACTTCTAAAATGAATTATCATAACAGTATTGATTTAGTGTTTTCACACCTGCAGAGAACTGCTCTAAAATCATAACACACACTCACATATATTGATGATGATGATATTGCAAATATCATTGCAGCCCTAAAGGCTGCATCCCGAGCCCTCAGATGATATTGCAAATATCTCTAGTGTTGCTGAAGTGTCCAAATATTTTTTTGCTGTATTGTTTTGCCTCCCTGATTCCACAGGATAGGCTGGCTCTTGCTGTTGCTAGGCCTGCGGCGTCGCCGGCCCTAAAGGCTACATCCCGAGCCCTAAGGAGTCTGGGAACCTCACCATGGCTTCTGGTTGGCACGAACACTGATATTTTTGCAGTATGTGACATCATCAATGCACTTTGTGATGTATGCTGTGATGGCCTCAGTGTATTCCTCTATGTGTGATTATTGTGAGTGGATGCTTGTTTGAAAATGTCCCAGTCTGTAGTGTCAAAACAGTCCTTCAGAGCAGATGAAGCCCCCTCTGGCTTTTTTTTTTTTGGAACTGAGATGTTTATTAAACCTTTTAACAAAATCCAAAAGAAAATTCAAGATTCAAGATTTTTATTTGCCATTTATGCATTGACAGACAGTCCAGGATTATAGGAATAAATTTGCCATACTATTTTGTTTATTTAAACATTTTTTTGTATCACATTTGATATACGGGGCATTTTTGGCGATTTTTTTTTTGCTCAGAAACTCGTGTAGCAAATCTGATAGAAATGGTTTTATAGGGTTGGTGGTGATCTTGCTTGTGCTTGTGGGTTGTGTTTTTAATATATATTGTTTATTGCCATGTACAGCACTTTGGTCCACCTTGGTTGTTTTAGTGCTTTATAAATAAAGTTGGTATGGTTAAGAAAAAAAATGCATTAATATCCTCTGCATTTAATTTGAAACTGGTTATAGAGGGACTTATCAGAGTTGCAGTTAATGTCATTGGTCTCCATTATGTATTGATCACATTCACACAAATGTTCCAGAATTGTGTTCAAATATTGTTTATATTCCAACTTGCTATAGTGATCATAATTTTGTTGATTTAAGATGAATCTGCATAGAGTTATCCATCCATTATCTATGCTGCTTATCCTAGCTGACACTGGGTGAGAGGTGGGGTCCACCCTGGATAGGTTGCCAGTCTGTCACTAGACTGACACGTAGACAGACAACCACACATACTCACTCCTATGGGCAGTTTAGAGTTACCAGTCAACCTAAGATGCATGTCTTTGGACTGCAGGAAGAAGCTGGAGAGAACCCACGCAGGCACATGGAGAACATGCAGAGTCTGCACAAAAAGGCACCGGGTCGGCCAGGGCTCGAACCCAAAACCTTCTTGCTGTGAGGCTGCACTATGCCGCCACTGTGCTGCCCTGCCTAAAACTACATATAACATAATTTTTCACAGGTCAAAGAGAGATGAGCTGTTAAAAACAGTTATGCACCATTATTATGAAATTATTAAATCTTTAACGTCTGAAGGAGACACTGGTAAGTTAAAATGCCCACTTGAATGGGCCATGTATTTGAGTTTAACTAAAGCAGTCTTTCCACTATAGGAATTTTCTGAAACATGTTGAGTCAAGTAATGTTCATCATAGTTTCTGGGTTTATTTCAACTCCAGTGCACCCACTCTGAAGGGAGATACATTTTGGCATCCCTCAGGAGGTGGTACTAAGATCAAGTTCCAGGAACTTGAGGGGGGAGGGGGTGCATGCAGGCAGAGCAGTTGCCGGTAACTCTTTAAACTTCCCGCCTTCACACCTCAGCCATTAGCATAAAAAGCACAGTGTGTAAAGAGGCACTTATACTGATTTAGAGGGAAAATGGGGACTTCATTTATTGGTTTAGAGGCAAAACAGGGTCCTCAGTAAGTGGACCATGGGCAAAGCAGTGACAACGTGGCATTTCTGCAGTCTCTGTTACTGGCTGATTGTTGCACTGTAGAGTAATCCCTTGCATTGTCTGCTCTCCCTCTGCTCAGCTGGCTGCCTGTGTGAGAGAGCAGTGGCCCCTCCCTCCTCTAAACAGAGACTAACATGGAAAAAAATACAGTGGAAAAATAAAGCAGGACGGTCCGCATCAACACGGGAGGTTAAACTGGGCAAAGTACGGGATATACTACTCAATGGTACACAACAAAACTCACCAGATGCAAAACAAACAATAATACCAATATAAGCTCAAGGAAGCTGAGAGTTAGGGTAAGAAAACAAGGAGAATTCTGAGCCGTGGGGCAGAACTCTACCTTGCTGGTTATTCACACTGAAACTGAAGGAAGCTGTGGATGATGCAAATTATTTTAATGAATGCTATAGTGATAAAAAAATGAAAATGAAGTCTAATACAGTTAATAGAGATCCTTCTTTACTGTTCTCTCACACAAAATGCCATAACTAGGAACAAGTACTGTTCATTTGAATTTTTCACAACTGGTACTGAGAAAGTAAATATGGTAAAGCCACTGACGATAACTCATCAAAAAACCATTAAGGTTTCACTGTATTACAGTATTACACAGTAACTATTATTATCAGCTACAACAAAATTAGTAAATCGGTCAGATAATTATTAGACAATGTGTTGAATCAAATGTGTTAGTAATGCAATTTAGTAAGATTCAAAGTCTGCTCTAGTCTGCTCTGTTTCAAGCTTAGCAGTAAGCCACGACACCAATTGTTTTCCTGTATTAATCTTGTGTTGGAATACCATGTCTGAATAAATAAGTGAATGTTTTAGCTACACACCACGTTCACCTGTGTAAGGGGGTGGCCCAAAACTGATAGATGTATTAGGTTCTGTGTTTCCAGGAGCTCCTCTCTCCAGCAGCCAGAGTGTGTGTGTCTCTGGAGGAAGGAACAACCCGGGTTGGGTTCTGTAATTTTTATTTGTGGCTTTAAAAATAAATCAGCACTAAAATGCAGAAAGACGGACTCCTTCGTTATTCAGATCTGTCCAGAACTGGGGTATTACACAACTCTCAAAGAAATGAACACAGGGGGGTCTTTTGTTATTGCCAGTGTCTGTGCTAGTTAGTTGAGCTGGATTGAATAAGCAGTTAGAAACATGATTTAAAAAATGGCATAACTATGTTAGTTTACATTTTAGCACCAGTGGTAGAGGACGCATTCACATCCTTAAGTTCTAATACCACACTCTAAAAGTAGTCTGCTCTGTTACAAGTACAAGTCCTGCATTGGAAGTATTAAAAGTAGAGGGTATTCAGTGCAGAAAAATGTTCTACTATACTGTTATACTATTATATTTTATGTCGTTACGTTACTGGCCTGTCACTCATGCACTGATGTAAAGCAGGACGTGACTGTTGTGGCTGGCTGAGCTGCAGCTCTGTTGAAGTAGTTTGGATCTGAGTGTGGCCACTGATTATTTTCGTTAAGGATCAATCTGCTGAATTTTTTTCTCCATTTATCAACTGACTGGTCTGTACAACCTCTGACAGTGAAAAAAATAATGATAATCTAAACGACTGTCATAGTTGATTTACTATATGTGTGCGACAGCGCAGCCAGACTAATCCTGTGTGTGCCTTCGCTCACACACTCACACTCACACACACACACACACACACTCTGTGAGAGGTATGCGTGTGTTTGTGGGGTCAGATCGAGATCAGTGTGAGTTTTTTTTTAAGTTAGAGGTTAGCGAAGAAAAAGATAATGTGGAAAATTATGACCAATGCTTACTGTATATGCTCACACATTTTATTGTTTGGAATTAAAGTTCCCCTCCTTGAACCGCCACCTTATTGTGGTGGAGGGGTTTGAGTACCCGAGTGATCCTAGGAGCTATGTTGTCGGGGGCTATATGTCCCTGGTAGGGTCTCCCAAGGCAAACAGGTCCTGGGTGACGGGTCAGACTAAGAGTGGTTCAAAAGCCCTTTATGAATAGATTAAAATCAAGGACCGTGACGTCGCCCGGCATGGTGCAGCCGGGGCCCCACCCTGGAGCCAGGCCCGGGGTTGGGGCTCGAATGCGAACGCCTGGTGGCCGGGCCTCCCCTCATGGGGCCCGGCCGGGCTTAGCCCGAAAGAGCGACGTGGGGACGTCCTCCCGTGGGCCCACCACCTGCAGGAGGATCCGTAAGGGGCCGGTGCATTGCTCATAGCTCCCCAGCTTAGCCGCCATGTGTTGGAGTTTACCCCGGTGAACGAGAGGGTCGCTTCCCTGCGCCTTCGGGTCAGGGATAGGTCTCTCACTGCCGTTTGTACCTACGGGTCGAATGGCAGTGTAGAGTACACGGCCTTCTTGGAGTCCCTGGGAGGGGTGCTAGAAAAGGCCCCGACTGGGGACTCCATTGTTCTACTGGGGGACTTCAACGCCCACGTGGGCAGCGACAGTGACACCTGGAGGGGCGTGAATGGGAGGAACGGTCCCCCTGAACTGACGGGTACTTGGTGTTTTGTTATTGAACTTCTGTGCTAGCCACAGTTTGTCCATAACGAACACCAGTTCAAGCATAAGGGTGTCCATCAGTGCACATGACACCAGGACACCCTAGGCCGGAGGTCGATGATCGACTTTGTGGTTGTTTCATCTGAACTCCGGCCGTATGTCTTGGACACTCGGGTGAAGAGAGGGGCGGAGCTGTCAACTGATCACCACCTGGTGGTGAGCTGGATCCGATAGCGGGGGAGGAAGCTGGACAGGCTCAGCAGACCCAAACATATTGTGAGGGTCTGTTGGGAACGTTTGGCAGAACCCACTGTCCGAGA